CCACAACACCCGGCTATTTTTTGGTTGCAGCCATCATTGTTGTTTGGCGGGTCCGGGCTGGGGATTCGAACCCGCCACCTTAGGGGTACGTGGCTGGCGCCTTAGCCGGTTGAGCTATAGGCGCCGAGCCGAGAGGTTACTTTTCTATAAGGACAAAGGATCTTTCCTTCCAGATGCTCTAAGGTAGTGGCTCCCAACCAGGCATGCCCTGCAGAATCACTTGAGACTCTTTTCCAAAGGACACATGCCCAGCTCTACTCTCTAAGAAGATTCTGATTCAGTAGATAGAATCTGAGAAATGTGGATTTGGGAAAGAACAAACCAGAAACTACCTCAGCTATTCTGTTTTGGATTCATGGTTTGAACCACTGCTCTTAGATCACTGAGGTTCCTACTCTTGTTCTTCAGGTCAACTTTATAGCCTTGGTATTATATTTAGGGACAGAATTCAGATTTCCTTGTTAATCGGGAAGTGATTTTTTAATCCTGGGTCCTTTAGAGCCCACTGTGTTCCAGGCACCTGTGGGAATGTCAGTGGTCTTCTGGCTGGAGTGGAATGGTAGTTGTGGTTTTTACACTTCATCCCTAATCGCGATGGAGAGAAAGGCTGCTGGTGGTCGGAGGAGGAAGGGGAGGCCTTCCCTGGCTCCCACACAGGGCCTGTGGGAGTTTCGGTGCCGCCGCCAGGCTTCGCTGCTCCCTCGGCTGTGGGTTTGGCTTGTTTGGAAGCTGCTTACGTCTCCCTTCCTTTCTCTTAAACCCTAACAGAGGGGTGAATTCAATCAGGTTTAGTAATCTCGGCCTGAGACCTAACTATTAATTATTCCACATGATTGGTGCCTACTGTTCCCACAATGCACATATTGTATTTCTCTGTTTAGGGTAAGTTGCGTTCGCCAACTTTTTATTGCTTTACCTAGATTCTTGGCAGTCTTTTTTTTCTTCTTTTTAAATAACATTGGTAGGAGTTCAAAGGGAGTCACAGATAAGTGATGGCATGCCCTTTTGACCCAACGGAAGAGGAAGACGCTTAAGCGCTTGGGAGGTTGGGGAATGGTCACATAAAGGGAGGAGGGAGGAGGGGTGTGTGCTGCTCTGGGGGAGGAACAAGTGTCGGACTTGAAATGCTAGATCAGGAAAAATGGGCTCATGGGCTGCAAACCCGCTGGAATCATTTTTGGCCATCTCTTGGTTAGGCTCTTTCCTCTCCTCCCCCAGGGAACTCTTCTTCTGCACTTTTTTTAAACTCCTATGTCAGAGTGATGTAATACCCTAGTTTTTTCTTCACCCCCTTTGTTGGGACCTGGAACAACCTCTCCATGTTGTCAGTCAGATCTAGGACCTCAACCCTCCACTCTGGACATTTATACTGGCTTTCCTTATTTTCTGGCTTAGCCGTTCCCCGGGTTCTGTAAAGATATCGTGAAAGTTGTTCGCGGTGCCTTCCTTGGGGAAGAGTCTTAGTATCCCCTGGGACATAGAGGGTTCTTTTGAGGCTTAATCCGGAAGATCTTTCTAGCTCAACTCCACCCAGTATTAATCCCCTCGTCAGAGCAAGGGCATTTCAGAGGCTGGGCTGCTGACTGAGAGTGCTGATTCTGGAGCCAGATGTGAACATTCAGTTCTGGGCTGTGCCCCGTCCAGGTGTCTAGATCTGGGCTGCTTTACCTCTCTAGAGTTGAGTTTCTGAGTCTATCCACAACGTTGTGTTATTGATTGAACAAGATGAAGTGCTTATGCGGCACGTAGCACATAGTCCTCATCTATTAAAAAGAGCAGGCAAATGAGGGAATGCTGGTCTAGGAGCTCTTACATGCCCATCTCAGACACAGACACTTCCTACCCCTTTATCTGACCTGCACACTATGTGTCCACTCCCAGGCCTTAGACCTGGAATGTCCTGTGCCATAGTAACCAGGCTCATTTATTTTTTATTTATTTAAAAAAATTTTTTCTTGAGACAGGGTCATTGCCCAGGCTAGAGTGCAGTGGCATGATCACAGTTCACCATGGCCTGGAACTCCTGGGCTCAGACAGTCTTCCCACCTCATCCTGTGGAGTAATTGGGACTATGGGCATGTGCCACCATGCCCAGATAATTTTTAAAAATGTTTGTAGAGTCTTGCTGTGTTGCCCAGGCTGGTCTTGAACTCCTGGCCTCAGATAGTCTTTCCCACCTCAGCCTCCCAAAGGTATCACAGGTGTGAGCCGCTATATCCAGCCCTAAGTTTTTTTTTTTACCCTCTGTTTTAGCAACTTTCTGAAATTGCTTTAACTGCATTTTCCTAAATTATTGAAAACACTCTTGAATCCTTTTTGCCCAATCTATGTTCCTCCTGACATTATGTTTCTAAAGCTGAGTCTTTCTGTGCCCTGGGCCCTCCCAGTCCTTGCACCTCCTCTTTTCCTTCCTTCCTCCTCTCCTCTCCTCTCTCCTCTTTTCCTGTGCTCCCCATCACCCCCCTTCCTTTGCTCAGTGTACATTTATTGAGAACCTGCTAAGGGCCAGGGATTATGCCAGTTGCTGGGAATGTAAAAATAATTAAGACGTGCTCTCTGGCTGTGGTACATGTGGATGTGGGGGGCAGGACTGCATGGAAAGTATGGCATGGAGGGATGGGCGTAGCTCTGGGAGGGGCAGAGCTGTTCATCCTCCGCTATTGCTCATTGTGTGTAATTCTATGTAACGTGCTCGCCTTGGCTCAGCGGCTCACATTACCAGTGTGGTCTGTCTTGGGTCGTGAGTGCCCTGGGTACCTGATGAAGCTCCTAGTACAGTCAGGGCCTCCACTGAAGATCCTATTTGACAACTTGATGTTTGTGGGGCCAGCAAAGGAGACAGGGCACCTATATGACATCTACAGCATTAAAGAGATTTGACGTGTGCCTTTGTTAATTTTTTTCCCAGCTCCTGTCACATATAGAGAAACTGCGGACCTCAATGATAGATGATCTCAATGCAAGTAATGTTTTCTATAAGAAGAGGATAGAAGAGCTAGGGCAGAGACTCCAGGAGCAGAATGAGCTCATCATAACTCAGAGACAGCAGGTACGTGTGGCGCTAGCATGGCACTGTGCAACGCAGTTTATCTAAGAACATGTTTGTTTAGGTCAGAGCATTTGTAAGTGCTATAAAGTAAAGAAGATAGACTATTTTTTTCCCCTGGTGATTGCTTGTAAAAGTAAATGCAATAAAATAAAACTGGTTAAAGGTATTTAAAAATCCTGTAGAAAAGATTTATTCAGTTAGAATTCAAAATTAATTTGACTCAAGAGTTGATAAGAATGTCTTTCGGTAATTATTTTAAGGAGCAGTTGAGTCCCAATGCTACTTTTTTTTTTTTTTTTGGAGACAAGGGTCTCACTCAGTGGCCCTGGGATTGAGTTCCATGGCATCATAGCTCACAGCACCCTCAAACTCTTTGGTTCAAACTCTTTGGTACTTCAGCCTCTGGAGTAGTTGGGACTACAGGTGCCCACCACAATGCCCAGCTATTGTTTAGAAATGAGGTCTTGCTCTTATTCAGGTTGATCTCGAACTCCTGAGCTCAAGCAATCCACCCGTGCTGGGATTACAGGCATGAGCCACCACTCCTGGCCCCCCAATGCTCCTTTTATAACACTTTTGCCTCTGTGCTTTTAAATCCATGGGCCCCGGGTCTTTAGATGATTTAATGAAAAGGTTAATATACTTACATTATCTGTCCATTATCCAGTGTGTTCCTATTTTCAAACATGTATTCTTCTTTGCAGATTAAAGAGTTTACCAGTAAACCGTTAAACAGCGCCAGTGAACCCAAAGGTAAGTGGATAAGATCATAGTTCAGGAGGTGAGGTAACCTCCCTAAGTGTGCTGAGCATCAGAACGTGGGCCCTGCTGGTTTATGTATCCTAAGGTGGCATTCCTCTTTTTATTTTAATTTGAGAGCTCTGCTTACCACTACCTAGAGAGTTGAAGAATTATAACACTCTAAATTCTCATTTAACGGGATTTCATTGTTTTTATCAGAATATTATTATACATGTAACACTTACTTAGTAACCATTTGCCTCTTAATTTATAGACTGTAGGACAGAGTTATGCTTAAAAGCACAGGATCTGAAGACAGACTGGGTTCAACTCTGGTCACTGGTCCTCTGTGGCTTTGTGAATCCTGCCTGAGTTTCCTCAGGTCTACAGTGGGAATATTAATGGTGTCTTTGTCCCATTTTGTGCTGCTACAGTAGATACCATAGGCTGGGTAATTTATAAGGAACTGAAGTCTCTGAAGACTGGCAAGTCCAAGAGCCTGGTGCCTGTGCCTGGCAAGGTTCACCCCACAATGGAAGGCATCATGTGGCGATCTAGCATGCAAGACAGAGAGAGGAAATCCATCCAAGCTCATCCTTTTTAATCAGCTCCCGCAATAACTAACCCAGGCCCGCCACTGTTGCCTTGGGGACACTATTAAAAAGGCAATTCAATTTCAACTTGAGTTTTAGAGGGGACATTCAAACTATAGCAAATAGTGACTATAACATGGGTTTGTGGTGAGGATTAGGTGAGATAATGTGAAGCAGGCCTGTTAAACTCTCGTTAATGACAGCTATCATTATTGATATTAAACTCCTAGTGACTCTGTAGTCCTGTGAAGGCTTGCCACATTATTCTCACTTGTGGTGGTTTGGAGGTTAAAGGTTCGTTCTGAGCATAGTGTGGGTATGCATGCTACTAACTGCAGCAATGGTAGCCTGACAGTTCTCTATGTCATTCAAGAACCAGACCAGAAGGGAGCCTGGGAGCCACAAGTACAGGGTCTCATTGAAGCCCGGAAGCTGCCGTCTGCTTCCTGTGCCTCCCAGAGGTACCAGTCTTGGTTTCTGCACATTTCAGATCATTAAGGAATCTTCATCTACTTGAGGGGTATCAGCTCAGTGTGAGAGCGAGGTTTCTTGCCTTTCGCTCAGAGAGATCATTGAAGAAAAAAGTTTGTGATGCCTTCCACTGTGGAGTGACCCTTACCAGACCCTTAATTGCTCTTTGAATAGCAAGAGCCTAGGTAGTGAGGGATACCTGTATATAATAACTCAGATACCATAAGTGTTTGAAAGCAATTTTAGGAAAAAAAATTTGCTTTAAAAGGACTTATGTTAAACATATTTATTCTATTGGGTGAGACGCTATATATTGGTACATTTTATTTATTGTTTTTCTGGGGAATAAAAATTAGGATAAGGGCTGCCAAAATTTAATCTGTACCTTATGATTTTCGTTACTACTTTTTTTTTTTTTTTTGTCATTTCAGGGAAGGCTTTAGCCTGGCAAAGTTTTGACTCTAAGCCAACTGCCCCAGCTGTACCAAGTAAGTTTCTATAATAGGCTCAGGGCTCTAAAGGTATCTTTCAAGTACTAACCCAAAAGAGAACTTCTACTTATTTGTTATTTTTAGAGACTTTTCTTTGAAAACCAGCATATTTAGAGATTGCATAATGATTTATTTTTGATTTGTGGCTTTGACCTAATTCTAAAACCCAAGACTGTAAATATCCTCGTGATTTTGGGGTGATTTTGATTAGCCATAGCTATTATGTCACAATTTGTCATATAAAGGGATAACTAAAAATTCCTTGGCATTGCTCCAGTTTATGCTTTTAGATTTCCCAGAGTGACACACTGTGTGACTGTGCCACTGCCTGCAGTGGCCACTGCATCTTGGCAATGCCGAGACTCTTGCCACTGCAAGCTTTAAACAGGTGTCCTGTCTGTCGTCACTTGCAGTCAGCTC